CAAGCCCAACAGCAGCGCAACGGGCAGGCGCGCACACACCTCCCTCGCGATGCAAAGAGAGCACACAGCCATGCGAGCAGGAGGTGAAAGGAGGGAGCGCCGGCGGCAGCTTAGGGAAAACGCAATCAGCAGCGCAACAGGCAGGCGTGCACGCGGCACGCCTCCTCCACCCACACACCCTGCACAATGCCGCGCCTTCAACGTGCCAGAACACGGCTGTAGGTTCCAACGACCGCCCGCCTGCCCATACGGCCTGCGCCCACGCTGCGCCCACGACCTCGCGCAAGTCCGCTCTGAGCTTGCCGCTCCGTGCGACGAGGGAGCCTCGGACGCCGACGAACCGCCGCTCCCGGCAGCGACACAGAGCGCCCCCACAGCAGCGCTCGCGAGCGAGCCCTCCGCGATCCCCGCCGCTCCCCCGGCGCTTCTCGTCGAGGAAGCGCCGCGAGACCTCGAGACCCGGCCCGGCAGGCAGCGGGTGGCACCTGCCCGCGATGGAGGCGGAACCTGCACGCTCCCTGGCATGATGGGGCACCCAAGCTCCGATCTGCCACGGGAAGGCGATGCGGAGGAGGAGGAGGATGGAGGAGGAGAGAGGTGGACTGAGGAGGTGGACGAGGAGGAGGAGGAGGAGGAGGAGGAGGAGGAGGAGGTACGCTCCTGCGCGGGGTGGGCCAGCAGGCCTCGTCGGCGAGGCATGGGCGATCCCTGAGATCCGACGCTGCGAACAGATGGCAACATCTCGACAAATCACGACCACAGCCCCACACCCCATCTTTCCACGGCAGCTGTCAATGCGGATCGATCCGTGGTAGTCCCGGGGCCCGAAGCCGATACCGGACCTGTTCGTCCAGTCTCGCGCCCTGGGGCCATCACAGATCGATCTGGCTCACAGTTTGGCACAGAACGATGGGGTCTATAGGGCTCCGGTTGCGACTTCTCGTGCTGCTGCCCTTTTTTCGCAGCGTCGGGTCTCGCTTGTTTCTTTGGGTTGGGCCCTATGGAGCCATTTGGAACCCGAGGCGGCCGGGCGGGGGGCGGGCGGTCTCGCCCCGGCTGTCGCTGCCGTCGTGCCGTCACGCTGCTCGCCGTCGCCACACATCACCACCGTCTCCAAACCCGCTCGCTCTTCACTCTCTCTCTCTCACTCGCTCGCCCTCCCTTCCCTCTCTCTCTCTCTCACTCGCTCGCCCTCTCTCTCTCTCTCACTCGCTCGCCCTCCCTTCCCTCTCTCTCTCTCTCACTCGCTCGCCCTCTCTCTCTCTATCTCTCTCTCTCTCTCTTTCTCACTCGCTCGCCCTCCCCTCCCCTCCCACCCGTCTGCACCCGGAGGCGGCCCACGCGGCGTCGGAGCAGACTGGGTCGGAGGAGCGTCCGCATCGACGAGGCATCGGCACTGCGGCGCGATGCCCCGTCCCCATCTTCTGCGGGCCCGTGTGGGCGGCGGGCCCGAGCGTCTGTCCCTTCGTCTTGCACGTCACGTCCAGGGCTGGCGACAAAAGGCTTGCCGGCAAGACTGACTTCGGGTCGGAGGAGGAGGAGCGTCCGCATCGACGATGCATCGGCAATGCGGCGCGATGCCCCGTCCCCATCTTCTGCGGGCCCGTTTGGGCGGCGGGCCCGAGCGTCTGTCCCTTCGTCTTGCACGTCACGTCCAGGGCTGGCGACAAAAGCTTGCCGGTAAGACCGGCTTCGAAGGAGCCGCTCCTATCCACTCCGTCGGCTCCGAGATGCTGACGGGCACGCTGAGCCCCTCCTCGACGACCTTCGCTGTTTGTGTTCCCTGTCTCGCGAAGCGAAAGCGAAGCAAGCACGTCACCAGTCGAGCCTGCACCTCAGAGATGGCATAGACGTGCTACGCGCTCCGAAACGTCAACCTGTAACAGGCGAGACTACATGTAGCCAGTCGACACGACGACACGGTAGCACTCGAACGACACGCGGCCGATACACCCGACTACGAGTCAATGTGCGCGACGGATGTTGCTCGACTGCTGGACGAAGGCGACACGTCATGACCCAAAGAGAACATGGAGAGCGGGCTCGACTCATGTTCGAGGGCTGCATGCGTAACTCAGCTCCTCCTGTCAGCCTGTTTGCCGGCGTGCCCCATGAGACACAACCCTCTAATCGTCAACGTTTCCAGAGGTGCGCGCTGGGGCGACAATAGACATACGTCATCTGCTACTCCAGATTTCGTAATTAATAAAGGGAGGGGGGTCTCTTTTCGGGGGGGGGTCTCTTCCAGGCTATCTTGGAGGGCCTGGGGGGGTCTGGGGACGATGTTTTGGAGGGTTCTCCCACGGGGGGGGGTCTGAAATGGCTTGTCTTGGAGGGTCCAGACCCCCTCCCTTTTATTACGAAATCTGGAGTAATCATGACTCTTCGAACGGCAGGGTCCGGCGATGCAGTAGGGTGGTGATCCAAGGGAGCCGCGGCTGCGCAACGTCGACCTCACCACTCTACGTTGGCCGGCCAGACAATATCACCCTGCAACTGGCCAGTCTGCGCTTGCGCCTGCCCCGGCGCCAGAAAACCACACATGCTGGGAGAGGGAAGCTCTGAACATACTCTGCGTCTTCATGTGAGCTTTGAATGCAAGGCGCACCTCCGAACTAGTCCGGCTGATCAGCAACTAACGCCCTCCCCTGACGACCTTGGCAATGCCGTGCTCGGCACCACCCGTTGGCATCAGCATGCCGGTCCTGGTCTTGAGTGGCCGGCGCAGACAAAATGAAAGCGAGCAACTCTGGGAAAGTATGCGGCCCTCGACATGCCTGCACCACATCGCCGTCTCGTCACTTCGGGCTACATGCCCGAAAGATGTAACCTGTGCTCTTCTGTGACTCAACAGTTCCACCAGGCGAGCTCTCATTCGCAATCCGAAATGCGGCCAGGTAACCCTCGGAATATCGCTCGCTCAGCCCAACTGAACACTGCTAGAAACAATGCGTCTACATGGTGCTGCCAACGACCCAAGCTATTTAATTACGCGGCATGCTACCCATGACAAAGTGTTCGCAACATAATCTTAGTTTACGGCCGCCGTCCGTGACTGACATGCGTCTGTCACACACTGCTCCCTCCGCTCAGCACATCCGTGCCTTATCTACGAATGGCATAGAATGCCCATTCCATATCGCGTTTGAGCGATTCGCGAACCCGTATAAGTTTGTAGCAATTGCGCAAGCAAGTATCATGACAACCAAGGAACGCCTAACAGATAGGGATAGAGAGAGAGAGAGAACAAAGAGAGCGAGAGGTAGACGAAGAGAGGGAGGGAGAGAGAGAGAGAGGGAGAAAACAAATACAGACAATACAAACAAATGAGGACGGATCGGGCACCGCTGCCATTCCATAGCGCTCCAGAACACCATGGAGCGATTGATCTTTTATCCCCAGACCTCCGATATCTTGATTTGTTTCTGTACGGGCTCGCTGGAGCTCTGGACCACTTCCTGGCGACCAATTCTCGTCCGGGATAACTTTTTGATGGTCCCAGGGCCCGACGAAAGCTATGAAACATCTCACACCTCCGTTTCGATTTTCTCAATGCGTTCCCTGTCTCCGGATCTTCCCTATTTCGGGTGATTTCGTGAGTAGGGCAGAAATTCCTGCATCTCTTTTCAACCTCCTTTGGTGTTGATTTCCGCCCTACCTTGCCGTCGCTGTTTCGGCTAGAGGAACAAGAACTATGCACATACACCGATTCTGGCCAGGCCCATCCTGAGCCCAGGATCGGTGCATACGCCCTCCTACCTTGGCCAGGGAGGCATATGCACCGATCCTGGGTCAAGGATGGGCGTTGTCAGGATCGGTGCAGGTGCATAGTTCTCTTCGCCCGATCTGCTACACTTCTGACGAGAAGACCGTCCGTTTGGACACCCGAAATGGGTACCGAAAGAATGGGTACAATGCCCAACAACAAATGCTGTCCCAAACCAACAGCGGCCGCTGTTTGGCAGGCGGCCGTCTGTCTCAAATGGAAACAGGCCGCGGCGGCGCGGACAGCGAGTCCTGTTCAAAATGAACAAGATCCGCTGTTGGGCAACGTACCCATTCTTTCCGTGCCCATCTCGTTCGTGCAGAGTCCGGGAGCAGCTGCCGTCCCGAGCAGGCGCCCTCCCAGCCGGCTGCCCACTGACACCGTGCATCCGGGGGCGCCCGCCCGAGCGCATGCCCTGCTGCTTCGAAGCACTGTTCGCCCCCAGCTTCTGCGTCTCAAGCAATCAAAGACACAGGCCTCCTCCTCCTCCTCCTCAGCCTCCTCCTCCTCCTCCGCCTCCTCCTCCTCCTCCTCCTCCTCCTCCTCCTGCTGCTCCTCCTCCTCCTCCTCCTCCTCCTCCTCCTCGCACACTTCCTCCGCCTACCCTGTCACGTTGTCCTTTAGCTCCTTCCTGTGATCACACATCCCGTCGCCATCGACGGCCAAAACCTTCAGGGTCGGCGGCACCGGCCGTAAGGCCTTCACAATAATCAAAGACACAGGCCTCCCAGATGGGGTCCGACCTCATCTACTCTCTGACCCTATCTGGGAGGCTCCTAGATACAGTCAAGGCGCTGAAACAGGGAGCATTTCAGCTTCGGGTTCGGCGAGGGCTCGCTGTTCTTCAGGTCCTTGTGCGGTTGCTCCTCCAGCGCTCCTCGTGCACACAGGCGGCTTTTGGGGGGCCATAAGGAGGCTGCGTTCCGTGCTTGGCGGTCCTCAGGGTAGCCACTTGACTGCCGTACTTCCCCGTCGCGGCCTCCCGCGTGGGGTACGGCTGGACCCCTGGGTCCTCTTAAAGGATGTTTTTTCTGCCCTGCAGGGCCGAAGAACATCCTTCAAAAACATGGGGCCCTCCGCCGGCCAGACCAGAGAACACTCGAGGGCACCCTCCCCCGGGATGCACAAGAACATCCACCAAGCACGAAGCACATTGGGGCACCCTCCCTCCCCGAACCGACCTCTGTCCCGAGACCCCCGACGTCATGATTTTTTCATGACGTCGACCCCCCGAGGTCTCGACCCACTCCCCAGGACCCGTTTTTCGTCCTGAGTCGTTTTTTTAAGGTCCCGAGGGCCGGTGAGGGCCCCCAGAGGCCCCAAAAATGGTGCAAAACCTCCACCGTCGAGATTTCTCTTTTCCTGACTCGAGGGGGTCTGGGCCCGACCGCAGCACTCTGCGCGCTGGCCGCCGTCCTCCAGCTCCCCTGCGGCGCCCAGCAGCCGCCGCCGGGGGGCGGCCAGGCCGGGCACGCGAGCGGCAGCAGGCCTGGCGCTGGCTGGGCGGCCGCCGCGGGCGGTCGGGCTCCTGGCGGCCGGGCGCGCGGCGCGGGGAGGGAGGGCACCGCCAGCGTCCGGGGTGGTCCATGCACGCTGGCCTCCTCCTCCTCCTCCTCCTCCTCCTCCTCCTCCTCCTCCTCCTCCTCCTCCTCCTCATGCTCCCCAGGCTGCTGCTCCTCCCTCCTCCTCCTCCTCCTCCTCCTTCTTCCTCCTCCTCCTCCTCATGCTCATGTTTCCCTCCCCTCCTCTGTTCCTTCTCCTCATTTGGCTTGGTAATGTCTGGCGCCAGCCTGGGCCTGAACTCTTCGAACTCAGGGCAGCCCCTAGTCCTATCCGCGCGAGCGGGAACTCTGGGTGCTCCGCGACATGTTATGTCGACCTTCACAACGACGACGATTGCATATGCAGAATGTTGGATCAGATGCGGGTTGAAAGCGGTGCGCGGGACGCGCGTCCTTTGATTGACACTGAAACGGCCGCTGCAACAGCTAAGCCCGTGCACCAAGCGACCACTGACAAAGTCGGACATCACTCAGTTGGCATGAATCAGCGGGGTCCTGAGGGAAACAAGTTCTGAAGACCAAGGCCTTCCCCCAAGATCAACTTTCCGTCCTGAATCATTTCTTGCAGTCTGAGCGCCTTGGGGGGACCTGGGGGGCCGAAGACGTCGAACAACCTCCGAATCCGTTTCCCTTGGAATCCGTTCGCAAACCTCTGATGTCTGGATTTCGACTACGACCCCCCCAGCGCACTGATGCTTCCCAGGGAATGTTTCGTTCGTCCCGCATCGTTTTTTGGGGGGCGGTCATGGGGCCTGGCGAGAGCCGAGCCGCCGTCCTGGTTGCCCGTTCCAGCGCGGCCACTCAAGCGGGCCAGCCTACAATGAGGTCGAGCATGGGAGCGGCCAGCGTGCAGGGGGTTCGTCGCAGCGCGCAGCGCTTGGAGGCGACCGGGGGGTCCGAACTGGATGGGCCCCGCCGCCGAGGCGCTAAAGTCGGGGCGTTGACCTAAGGAACCCTAAATAAGGAACGAGGCCTCTTTTTTTCCATAAGTTAAACTTCGATTTCCCATCGAAAACATAAGGAAACCCTGAGGCAAGCTGCGAAACAATCAAGGAACACGGAGCCCCTCCCCAACGAAAAGGGTTCCTTCTTCAGGGCCCCGACTGTACGGCGAGAGCCAGATTTGAAAGAACGGCCGCCTGCAATCCGCGAAACGCGTGCACATTCAAGAAAGCGAGTGCGCGCGGCGCCGAGGCGAGAGCTAGATTTTGAAACCGTTCCGCCCTCAATCCGTCCGGCGGCGGGTCTCTATCGCCACCGACGGGGGCCCGCCGCGCGCAGGGCAGCCCCAGGTGGACCCGCCAGAGCTCGCCGGACTTGAGCCAATGCAGCACCAAACGTTGGACTCTACGATTCGCGAGGTCGCAGAGGGGCCCGTACTTGGCACCCAGCGGGGCCAGACCCCGAAACCCACGTTCACGGAGGGCACCCGCGAGGTTGGCCGCGCCCGCGAAGCGCTCCAACAACGCCTGGCGGGGGGGCCGGTGGCCTGGCGAGCCCTGGGGGACCGCGCGGGGGGCCCAACCCCGAGACCACCGCGTGGATCAGGATGCGGCCCAAGACGCCCAGGCAGCGCAGGACCTCCTGCGGGCCCATCTTGTCGGACACCACAAGGTCCTAGAAGCCCGAGGGGCCACCGTTGAAGGCCCCAGCAAGGCCCAGGTACTTCAACGAGAGAGCCTTCGGAAGCTTCCGAAAGGACGTGACCTCCAGGGGCCTGCTGAACCCCTCCGCGTCGACAACGCTCGAATCGTTCGTGGTCTGTGCTCTCTGATGTTCATCTCGTTACGTTGGTCGTCGTCATCGTGAAATCGAGTCTGTCCCCACTCTCACCATTGGGGGAGAGAAGGGGCGTGGGATGGCAGGAAGAAGATGCCGAGGGCACGCGCGTAGAATCATGTCCCAAGCTTCCTGGCCGAAGGATGTCGGCCACACTCCCGCGGATCTGCTGCCCGTTGTGGGCGGCGGGCCGCGCCGCCAGCTCGCGCTGCGTCGGCGCCTGGAGGGCCCCTCGCCCCCGATAGCGACTGGCGCGCAGCTCGCCCCGATCAGCTTTCGGCCCCCGCAGTCTGCGACGTCGCGGACGCCGGGAACGCGCCGAGGTCGCCAGCGAATCTCGCGCCCGAGGCGCACTGCCGCGGCGCGCCTGCGTTGCGCCAGCAGCTCAAAATTGGTGACCCTGCCCATCTCGACAGCGAGGACCAGCGACATGTTGTCGCACGGGCTGAGGATCTCCCTGCCGCGGAAGGCGACGTCGGCTGCGGCCCTCCACAGCGGCGCGACCGCTGCGCGGGCCTCGAGGGCGCGGATCCGGCCTGGGCGCCGCCGCGCTCCCCGACGCCGCTCGGACCAGCGACTCGGGCCCAGCGAAGCGTCCGCCAGCGGCTCTGGCGGCGCCCCGATCTCCAGCCCCATGCGCCTCCGCTTCGCCGCGGCGCGCCGCAACCGCGGCGGGGCATGCAGCGGGAGGGGCCCAGACTGGTCAGCGAGCCCGACGGCCCGGTCCTCGCGGAGCTCATCGTCAGGCGCGACCCCCACCTCCGGCGGCGAGAGCCGCTGCCGCTCGCGCCGACGCGCGGTCGCCAGGACCTCCCGCGGCTCCAGACTCGCCTCGCACGCGGCGCAGCCCTGCTGCGAGCTGTCGGTCGCGAAGGCGATGTCTGACGGCGCCCGGCAGAGGTCAACCTCCCCGAGGAAAACGAGGCCCGCTGCGGTGGCAAGCTCTCCCAGCACCTCGGCAGGCAGCCGCGCCGCGGGCGCGGGGTCGCCGTCGTTGAAAGCGCAACGGGCGCCCGGCGCGCTGAGGCCTGGCCGCAGCACGGAGAAGTAAAGCGCCAAGTGCCCCACGATCCGCCGCAGCTGCCAGGCCGCCGGCCACGGCCCCCGCAGCGCGTGGTGCAGCGCGATGTAGAGCCGCCAGGCGCGCCTGAACCTCCCTTCGCGCCCGCCCAGCGCCATCCCGAGGATGACGAGCCCTGGCTGCGCCCGCTCCAAGTAATGCCATCGAAGACCGCGCATGTCGAGCTCCCCGGTGAGCTTGTCGAGCCGGTCGTTGATCGCCGAGGCGCTGAGCGAGACGAGGTTCCCATCGTCGACGCGCGGCGCCCTGGCCACCGAATGCCCGACGAGGGTCGGGGCGCGGGCTTCGTCGAGGCGCCAGTCGTCGCCGGGGAGCCCGGCCGCGCCCATCGCGTCGACGAGAACCTCACGGCAGATCCAGAGCGCCCAGCTCCAGCCCGCCGGCACGGCGGCGAAGCATGGCCAAACCGGCTCGTCAGGAGCCACCAGCACTCGGCGCTTGAGCTTCTCGTCGTCGATCGAATCGACCCCGAGCTCGACGGCGGCGACCTCGCGTCGAAGCGCATCCAGCCCCCCCAGGGTGGGTCGGCAAACTGGTGGAACCCACCCATGAGGTCCACCGGGCCGGCGCACAGGGGCGCGCGGCAGCCGTCGAAGTCGGCGCGGTCCTCGGGGCTCGCGCCGATCGCACCCAAGAGGCTGATCGAGCCCAGAGCCTCGCCAAAGGCCAGTGCGGTCCGAGGAGGCGGCTTGCGGAGCTGGTTCGGCTGCCACGCGTCCACGACCGCGCGGATGCCCCCGTTCTTCTCTGCCACGAAGAAGGCGCTGACGCAGGCCTTCCGACGGCGACCGCCGCCCACCGACCCGCGCTGGGCAACCCGCCGCAAGGAGTCCATGAGCCTCGCGCGCTTCCGAGGGTCTCGCGGGTTGAGCAGCGGGCCCCAATGCGGCTCGACGATGGTCGCATCCTCGGGGATGGCAGCGGCAGGCCGCGCCACGTTAGAGTCGAAGTTGTCGAGCACCTCTGCGACATGCTGCGGGGCGATGCTCCGAAGCTGATGGGGGGCGATTATCAGGCCCCCGCCTGAATGCATTGAGCTCGCCGGCGTCGTAGTCGCGACCGGTAGAATACTCTTCCATATTAGAGTGCAGATCCTTGCGCTTGAGGAGCTCCTGAAGGACCCCAAATGAGTCTATGTTGTTCGGGCGGCGCACAAAGCCGCGGGCGCGACGTCGGACCTGCGCGGCAGGCGGCCGACGCTTGCAAGGCGCTCGAAGCTCGAGACGCCCTTTGGCCCGAGCGGCCGCCAAGGCACTGAGCGCACCCAGAGTCTCGAGAGACCGACGGTCATGATCATCACAGCAAGCAGCGCGTCGAGCCAGATACCGAGGCAACGCGGCGCGGTCTCCGTGACGAGGCCGACGAAAGAACTCATCGCCCTGAATGAGGCAGAGGAAACAAAACTGCGGACGAAGTCCCGCCCGCGGAGGAGACCCCCTCGGAAGGCTGCCCAGCTCGAGATGCATCCGCGGCTGCACCCGTCGAGCGGGGCGGCGGAAGGCTGGGCGGCAAGCCCAGCCACATCGGCGCCACCATGGCGCCGTGAAGTCTGCTCCTTCCTGGACACCCCGCCCTTGGTTTTCGCCTTGGCCTTTGCGTCCGCCTGTGGGGGCCTGCGCTCGTCGCCGACCTTGTCGTGCCTCCTCGACTCCGACTCCTGCTCCTCGCGGTGGAGGCGCTCCTGCTTGAGAATGATCCCCTGCGCCTTCTGCCCCTCGGCAACGATCGCATCGAACTTGGACGTCACCACCCCGCGGCTCTCGTCGAGCGAGCTGCTCGGCATCGGCCCCAGCACCTCGGAGCTCGGATGACAAGGGCGCCGCTTCGCCGCGCGCTGGATCTGGAGCACTCGGCGACCCGCCAGCTCGAACGATGCATGCAAGGTTCGAGGTGTCGAACAGGTCGAACGTCAGGGCGTGATGCAGCACGTTCAGCAAGTGCCGCATCTCCTGCGCGACGCCCGCACTCCTCGAGACGCCCGATTCGGTCACCCAAAAGCCCCAATACGACGTGAGAGTCAGCCCCGTCGCCAGCACCGCGGTCAGCAGTTCGGGGAAGGCCTTCGGGCCCCGGAACGGCCAGTCGGAGATCTCGATTGATTTCATCTTGCCCCTTCCGACAGCATCATCTGGTGGCCCGGCACACGAAGAGAGAGCGAGGAGATCCGAGGATCTCGCCCCGGACCCCACCTCTGCTCTGCGCGCCAGTCCTCCTCGTCGGCCTCCTGGACGTTCTCCGCTGAGACCCGCCCCTCATCCTCGCTGAGCACGACGATGCCGACCGCGTCTCGGTGCACCAGCCTCTCTGGCTTCCCCGAAATCTGAAAGTCGAGCTCCTCCCCGAACTCGGGCGACCCGGGGTCCGAGACGATCCATCGCGGCACCGTCGCGCCAGGCGCTGCGGGGGGCGCCGCGATCGCGAGCCCCCGCGCCTCCACACGAAACGCCTCGATGTCCTCCTCGCTCTGGCCCCCGAGGGCGCAGACCTGCCCTCGCACCCTGGCCTTCCCGATCGCGAGCCCCCGCGCCTCCACGCGAAACGCCTCGATGTCTTCCTCGCTCTGGCCCCCGAAGGCGTAGGCGTAGACCTGCCCCCGCACCCTGCCCGGGAACGCCGCCGCACGGCGGAGCGCCGCATGACCAGGGGCCCGCCGAGGCCCAGCACGAGGACCTCCCCATCGAATCCAAGCTCGCGGCCACGCAGACGCCAGGGCTCACCTGCACCAGCAAGAGTCCCAGACCCCCTCGAGTTATGAAAAAATCACGACGGGAGGTTTTTCATTATTTTTTTGGCCTTTGGGGGCCCTTACCGGCGCTCGGAACCGTCAAAAAACGACTCAGGACGAAAAACAGGGTCCTGGGGAATGGGTCGAGACCTCGGAGGGCCGACGTCATGAAAACATCACGACGTCGGGGGTCTGGGGTCGGTGGTGCCACTTGATTCAGGTGACTTGAAACTGTCGTCGTCGTCGAAGCTGGTGCACACCTGCGAAATCGGGAGCGTCGAGAGTCCGCTGGGCCATCTAGCCGGCAACACACTCACGCTCGAACGGCCCGACAGCGAGGTCGACCGCCGCTGTCCGTCGACCCAGCCCCCTCCACGACCAGCGCGACGGTGGAGGCCCCCTAAATACGACAGCGGACGCGCCGAGCCCTCGGCCGCACGCGCGGCGATCCAGCCCGCCACCTGAGGCAGCCCTCGGCCGAACACGCCGAGCAGCAGGCCGGCGGCCAGGGCGGCGCCCACTGCCCAGCAGCCTTAAGTCGGGCCTGCCCCCCTACAGGGGGATTTTCGGCGAAACATAAAAAAATACCCTACAAATCATCCAAAAGTAATCCAAAAATAATCTGGGGACCATTTTTTTAGTTTTTTTTTTTTGTTTTACCTTTTTGGGGCATTTTCGGGGTATCTTTTATTTTCGTCGAAGATCCCCTGTAGGGGGACAGGCCCAACTTAACACCAGCCCAGCCCCGCGCCGCAGCTCAGGCTGCAGGCGGGGCAGTCCGGGCAGCGAGGGCAGGTCCCGCAGGTGACCGCCGGCGCCGGCGGGCACGCAGGGCAGCTCCCGCAGGTGACCCGGGCCCGCTGGGCACGCGGGGCACTGCGCGAGCCAAGCGGTCGCGACCGAGGCAGCCCGAGGCCCGGCCGCCAGCCGCGGGAGGCCCATCCGCCCCCGGGGCCCCAGGATAGAGCTTTGAGCCAAGATGCCACCGCGAGAATGAGATCACAGCAAGACGACGCAGTGATCGGGCACATTCGAGGCCACTCGATTTTGCGGGAAAACGAGTCAGAGACGATTCAGTCGACCCTGTGGCCGAGCCGCTCCTCCTCCTCCTCCTCCTCCTCCTCCTCCTCCCTCCCTCCTCCTCCTCCTCCTCCTCCTCATCGCCCCTCCTCCTCCTCCTCCTCTCCTCCTCCTCCTCTCCTCGCCCCCTCTCATCGCCCTTCCTCCTCCTCCTCCTCCTCCTCCTCCTCCTCCTCCTCCTCCTCCTCGCCCCTCCTCCTCCTCGCCCCTCCTCCTCGTCCCCGCCGACCAGTCGCCTTCCTCCGAGCCGCCGCCCCCGCCGCCCCGCGCGGCTCCGCAGCGGCCGGCGGCCCCAGCCCCAGCGGGCAGCGGCGGCGCGCCCAAGAGCGCGCGCGCGCGGAGGGCCTCGTGGCGCGCGTGCGCGCGCGCGTGGCGTCGCCGCGCGGAGGGGCGCCGCCGCCAGACGACCACGGCGGCGGCGGCAACGGCCACGACAACGACGACGACGACGACGACGACGACGACGACGACGACGACGACGACGACGACGACGACGACGACGACGACGACGACGACGACGACGACGACGACGGCTGCGACGGCTGCGACGGCAGCGGCGGCAGCGGCAGCGGCGAGCGGCGGTGGCGACGGCGACAGCGACCACGGCGGCAACCACGACCGCGACCGCGGATAGGGGTGTTGGACCATGACGGCCACGGGCGTGGCGGCGGCGACCACAACGACGACCACGGCGAAGGCGGCGGCCACGACGATGGCGACCACCACGGCGACGACGACTGCGACGACGACGGCGGCGGCGGCGGCGTGGCAATTGTTTCGCCTTCTCTGAGCCCGCATGGTCGTAGACGCGTGCGGCTCGGAAAGCAAGCCAAGATGGCGCCTGGCTGGGGTCTGGGACCGACTTCGAGCGGATTCCCCGCCGGGGATGGTCAAAATCGTCATCGTCGCAGCTGTTGCCGCGGCTGTCACCGTCGCCGCCATCATCCCCCGCCTTGCTGAGCCCGCTTCCTCCTCCCTCCTCCTCCGCCTCGCCCTGCTCCCCCCCCCCCCACCCTCTCTCGCTCTTGCAAGCCAGCGGACGCGCTCCCTGACTCGACGGAGGAGGGAGGGAACTGGGGGAATCCACTCCTGGCGTGTGCAACGCAGACTGGGCCTCCGAGGAAGAGGCTTCCGCCACGCAAGGTCTCCGGGCGGAAGTACTGTCGGCTACCCTGAATTCCGAAATTGCGGAAGAATTTTGCAACGTCGCAAAAACGGATAATCACGACCGGAGCCCTGGAACCTATTTTTCTGCAGATTCGTCGAGCAAGATCGAACTGTAGTGGTCCCAGGGCCCGAAAGCAGGCAAAAACGCCCGGCGTGACAAAAATTGGAACTCCTGGCGAGGCGGCTGTGGCCCAAAGCTCTGCCCTATGGGGAGAGCTGTGGCCCAAAACTCTCCCCCACGCAGGGCCTCAAGGCGGAACTGCTCCGGGCCAGCCGAGACACGGCGGAGCTTCTGGCGAGGCCTCGCTGTGGCCCCGGAGCTCTCCCAGAAGCTGCCCGTGGCGTGCCATGACCGTGGAAGCCGAGCGCTACAGTTCCTTCATGCTGGGCGTCGTCGCCAGGACTCGGGCCCTGGGACAATCAAATAATTGTCGATCTGGTGCGAAAAATGCCAGTAGGCAGACGGGGTCCAGGGCTGCAGTCGTGACTTTTCGCGACGCCGCATATTTTTTTCGCCGCGCCGAATCTCCAGGGATGGATTTCCCCCGCTGGAGCGGCCGCCAAGCACCACCCCTTGACGAGAGCTGCCGCCGGGGCGCCGGGGGTTCCGCTGCCGCGGACCCGCCGAGGCCGCCGCCCCCGGACCTCCGAGAAACGCCCGGGGCTGCCCGCAGGGCCGCCAAGGCGTCGCTCACGGCGACGGCGGCCACCCCAGGCCCGGGTGGAGGCATCGCACGCTCGCGGCAGAAAGCCTCAGAGAGCGTCGAGGGCCTGGGGGGGGGGACGCCGGGAGCCCAGACCCCCGACGTCATGATTTTTTCATGACGTCGACCCCCCGAGGTCTCGACCCATTCCCCGGGACTGTTTTTTCGTCCTGAGTCGTTTTTTGACGGTCCCGAGGGCCGGTGAGGGCCCCCAAAGGCCAAAAATCATGAAAAACCTCCCGTCGTGATTTTTTCATAACTCGAGGGGGCCTGGGAGTGATCAGGGAGACAGCGGGAGACAACGGGCGACAACCAGAAGCCACGGGAGACAACGGGAGACAACGGGCGGCAACGGGAGACAAGACAGCGGGAGACAACGGGCGACAACGGGCGGCACCGGGCGGCAGCGGGCGACAGCGGGAGACAGCGGGAGCCGCTCGGCGCCCGCTCGACTCCAGGTCCCGGGTGCCCCGCGCGAGTTTCTGTTACAGCTACGTTTTCTTTTGCTCCTCCTCCTCCTCCTCCTCCTCCTCCTCCTCGCCTCCTCCTCCTCCCCCTCCTCCTCCTCCTCCTCCTCCTCCTCCTCCTCCAGTTTGTGTGTGTTGTTTGCTGTTGGCTTTCTGTCGCATCATCTTCAACGTCTGATGAAGGATACTTACATACAAGACGTCCCAGAAAGCCGCGCGGACACGCGAAAACTTCCGGCGAGGGCATCTTCTAACTCTCCGAGCGCGCACAGGGCGCGCGTGCCACGCATAGAACTCGCACGCGCCGCACACGGCGGCGCGCACGGGGCCAGGGGCGGGGGCGACGACCCGGCACCGCTCCACCCTAGGCTGGGCTGCCCACCGCACGCCCGCGCGCCCGCTCGCGGCGGGTAGACTGCGCCGCTCGCCCGCGGGCCCTGGCTTCGGCCGCCGTCGCGATTCCGTGGGGCGCCAGGGCCTCTTTCCGCCCAGGCATGCGGAGCCCCGACGCCGCCGCCGCCTCGCTCGCACCCGCTCGCATGGTGGGCGTAGGAGGAGGAGGAGGAGGAGGAGGAGGAGGAGGAGGAGGAGGAGGAGGAGGGGAGGAGGAGGGAGGAGGAGGAGGAGGAGGAGGAGGAGGAGGAGGAGGAGGAGGAGGAGGAGGGGAGGCAGCAGTGGCGGGGCGTGGGCGTCGGGGCTCAGGCGGGGCGCGGGCACCGCGGGGGGCGGCGGCAGGTCCTGTCGCCGCCGCGGAAGAGGAGGAGGCGGAGGAGGAGGAGGAGGAGGAGGAGGAGGAGGAGGAGGAGGAGGAGGACGAAGAGGAGCAGGAGGAGGAGGACGAAGAGGAGCAGGAGGAGGAGGAGGAGGAGGAGGAGGAGGAGGAGGAGGACCTCAGGCCTTGTCGCCGCCGCGGAACCAGGCACACCAGAAGCGCGCCCTTCCTGCACCGGCGCGGGGTCGACCTTCAGCGCCTTGGCCCACCTGGCTCGCCTGCTCGGCGACGGAGAGGCCCGCGGAACGATCGGCTCCTTCGCCTTGCCCGGGAGGGGCATCTTCGCGAAGAATGACCTCGCCTGTGCCCTCGAACCCTGCTTGGCTCTGGCCTCTGCTTCATGGCATACCGTGCCGAACCCCCTGTGCGCAGAGCGCGGCTGGTTGCAATACATGTAGCACGACGTGCACACCAGCAAAGGCTCCCCTGGCCGAGCCAGCGCGTACGTCTCCATCAGCTGGTGCTCGTTGACGATCCAGGGGCCCCCCGCCGCAGCCGCAGCCGCCGAGCTCGGGCACGGGGGACACGGCACAGCAACTGGCTCTTCGGCTTCGGCGGCCCTGGCATTGGATAAGGAACCGTTGGGCAAATAATCTAGGGTGTGGAAGCTGGTGGAGCACTAGTTGAGGCTTGACCATGGATACCACCGCTGCCCGCATCAAATCAGGAATCCTCCTGGGTCTGAAGCCTCGTACCCCTTGGATTCAATGGTGGTGATCGGCACTCGGGGTGGCAGCATGGAAAACGACTTGGCATCTTTCGCGAAGGGAGCCCCAAGCGGAAACTCCACTCTCAAGGGGCATAACAAGAAATCATCAGCGCGGCACGGTTTCTGACCGCCCTGGAGGGCGATCAGAATTGCGTTCAGGACGCATTGGGCGGAATGCTACTTCCTGATGCGGGCCCCTACTGGTAAAAGGGGTGAGAGGAGCATCAGAAACTTCGAAATCGTCGTCAAATCCAACATGTCCCGGGGGCATACGAGGCCTCCACACCCCGACTTGGCAGAAGCGGCGATCGCGGGAGGAGGAGGAGGAGGAGGAGGAGGAGGAGGAGGAGGAGGAGGAGGAGGAGGAGGAGGAGGAGGAGGAGGGAGGAGGAGGGAGGAGGAGGAGGTAGGAGGAGGAGGAGAGGAGGAGGAGGAGGAGGAGGAGGAGGAGGAGGAGGAGGAGGAGGAGGGAGGAGGAGGAGGAGGAGGAGGAGGAGGAGGAGGAGGAGGAGGCGGAGGAGGAGGAGGAGGAGGAGGAGGAGGAGGAGGAGGAGGAGGAGGAGGAAGAGGAGGAGGAGGAGAGGAGGAGGAGGAGGAGGAGGAGGAGGGAAGGAGGAGGAGGAGGAGGAGGAGGAGGAGGAGGAGGAGAGGAGGAGGAGGAGAAGGAGGGAGGAGGCGGAGGAGGAGGGAGGAGGAGGAGGAGGAGGAGGAGGAGGAGAGGAGGGAGAGAGGAGTAGGAGTAGGAGTAGGAGTAGGAGTCAAGCTAGCCAGCTCGAGCGAGTCAAGCATGGCATGCCCAGTCCCACCCGCCCTCCCACAACATAAGAAGCAAAGCTGGCACAACTGGGGGCCGAAGTCACACCGGCCAGCCGGTTTGGTACAGCTGATGCGGCCGCGATGGCGGTTGCCGACGGGAACTGGCGAGCGCGTGTTGAATGCCGCGCACGCATTGCCAGACGAGTCGAGAATGGCCCGGTACACCGCAGGAAGCCAGAGGTGGCCGGAGGAAGCCCGACGGTCTGACAGGACACCCCAAAGCATTTTTGTGAAAAAGCATTTGGTTTTTTATGTTTTTATGTTGAAATGCTTGCAAACACACGGTGTTCGGTAGGATTCTGACATGGACGCGCGAGTGTGCTCTTTGTTGTATTTTTTGCACAGGATTCGCGGCCTGGGTGCATGACAGAGCATCGCGAGTGCACCGCGCGATGACGTGAAATCGCTGGATTTGACAGAATTCTTCAGATCCTATGGTTTTCCTATGGTTTCAGCAAGAGAGCCCGGGCGGGAAATTTGTACAATTTTTGTGAAAAAAGTATTGGGTTTTTGATGTTTTTCCCGGAAAGGGCGCCGGCCCAGGGTTCTCTTTTAGTTGGTAAACCTGTCCCCCGGTGCCAACTTGAGGGAGGCCGGCGAATTTTTTCCCTGATAAATAACGAGGTCGAAGGAGGCCGGCGAATTAAAATTTGAGGATGTCTCGAGCGAAACGCTTGTTTTTGAAATCCCGATCGATAAATCACAGGGTG